CTGAAATCAATATTACCTGTGTGTACCTGGTGGTGAGAGATTGCTACATGGATAAAACATCTAGTTTTCTCATGCATATTCTTTTGAAAAATCTAAGGGGCATAGCCTTATAGTTAGAAGTTATAAAATGCAAATGAAATAAAGTCTCCAATTTTTCAAAGATTTATTTCCTGCAGCAGCACAGTATCAAGAGAAAGGCAGTATGAAGAGTTTTCAGTGTGTGGGAATCATGATTTCAACATTATACTCTTATAAAGCTAAAGGTATCTGAGACAGGTCTCAATCAACCCAAAAGTTTATTTTGCAAGGCTCAGGACATGCCCAGTAAGAAACAAACAAACAAACACAATCACAGAAACAGTCTGTGGTCTCCAAAGACGAATCTAAGGGCTTCAATATTTAAGGGTAAAAAATGGGCTGGAGGGGGATAAGGGAGGGTATGTGAATTCACATGTTGCAAGAGAAAAGGAGGAGGTGAGGGAATAGTCAATTATGGATTTGACGCGTGCTCAGTAAATTGGCATTTTACATAAGATAAGGTGAACACAGAGTAGCTACCTATAGACATATTTAGCTTGCTGTCTGTAGCTACCTGCTTAGGAGCACAAGGAAAGGTAGTTTCTTTCATGACTCAGCTATCAACTTGATTTTTTTCCTTTGGCCATAGTAAATTGAGTCCAGAGTTTTTATTTTCCTTTCACACTGTCTAGGTCTAATTTAGGTATAGGCCTTCATTTAAGAACTACACTAATATGAAGGAACGTGAGAGAGTATAGTGCATGGGCTTACTGAAAGTCTAAATTTCAGGAGATAAATGAGAAAGGGATTGTTTCCCAAAATTTCAGAATTAGAGAGGATATGATGCCCATATAATTAAGTTGTGTTAATAGGCCAGCTTTGTTGTTTTGGTACTGCCTAAAATGCTTATTTTCTTTTAATTCTTCAAACACATCATGTTCTTTCCCACCTCAGAACCTTCACACATATGTTGTTCCCTCTTCCATAATGTGGACCGCCCCCACCATCTCAGCCCACAACTCGCATGCATGCATACATGGCTCTTTTTGCTTAACACCTATTCACCTTTCAGTTATCAATTTAAATAGTGCTTTCTCGAAAAAGACTTCGCTCATTATCACATTATTAAATCAGATTCCAATTCTTATTCTTTGTCATAGCCTTTTAGTTTCTTCCTTTTTATCGTTTCATAAAATTTGCACACAAATATGTCTATACCTTAATGAGTTAATGTTTATTTTCCACATCATACTATAAAGGAAATATTATTTTTTCTGTTCATCACTATAAATCCAGGACCCCAAACTGAGAAAGCACTTAAAATAATTTGTATCAATGCATGGATGACCTACTTTAGTTTGCATTTTAGTATCTAAAATTCAAGGCACTTACCATAACATGGTACCATTTTAGGAAATAATGACCAGGAGACTTTGGTCATTTCATGTAATATCTAACTCTCAAACATAAAAAATACAGATTCCCACTTTGAAGAATGTATTCCCCTGAATACAGATTTCTTAATAAAACTATCTAGATACTGATTATTCAGTTTATCATTGCTAAAATGAAAGAATTAAGAAAAACACCTTGGGAGCGGCCTCTTCTTTGTCAATTGGATCATTTTCTATCTTGTTCATTGCTGAAGCCCTAGAACTCAGAACCATACATACTACTGTTTGAATAGGAACTCAATATTTATCGAATCAATGAATGAATTATTTAATAACTACTCAGCTTAACTAGTGGCTTCTCTTCTCTGCAAAATCTTACCCTGCCTCTCTTCCCCAAAGACAGAATTTCCTGATGCTATATTTCTTCAGGATTACTGAAATTCACAGTTTAAAAATCAACTTTGTTTTTTTTTTTTTGAACCATAGGTCCTATTACTTCTCAAGTAATAAGATTTACCATTTATTTATCATTTACTATGTGCCAAGCACTTTACAAAATTAGGGCTAATCCTGAAAGTACCAATGCATTGTAGACATTATTACCTTCATTCTACACATGAGACACTACATTTAAGTGTAGTTAAGTGATTTGTCCATGATTATAGAGCCATCATTTGTCTAAGCCGTACATCAAACACAGGTCTGTATTACTCAGAAGTCTATAATCAATTTGCTATGTCATGCTCTCTGCCTTAATTCTCCCTCTTTTAATTGACACCTAAAGTCACATAAAAAGATTGTGTTCTCCCTCTCTCTCTCTCTCTCTCTCTCTCTCTCTCTCTCTCTCTCTCTCTCTCTTTAAGGCAGGATCTAGCTCTGTCACCCAGGGTGGAGTGCAGTGGTTTGATGACGGCTCACTGCAACATTGACCTCCCAGGCTTATAGCTGGAATTACAGGTACAAGCCACCACACCTGGCTAATTATTAATATTTTGTAGAGATAAGTCTCACTATGTTCCCCAGGCTTCCCTTGAACTCCTGGCCTCAAGTGATCCTCCCTTCTCGGCATCCCAAAATGCATGGATTACAGGTGTGAGCCACCATACCCAGTGATATTTTTCTTCATAAAAACACTAAAGATGGTTCATTTATTTGCCAAATATTTAGTCCAAATTATTGTCAAGAAATTGTTGCTTCTCAATGCAGATACATTACAAAATACAGTTTCAATGAAACTATGTAAATAGAGTAATCTCAAGCAGATAAAATTTCCTCTAATTTGATAATGCTGAAATTATATATCATTTTATTAATTCATTCTAATATGCAATAACTCACTATCAGCAAATCACTCACATCTTAATTTTTATACTGAGCTAATTTCCTTGAAAACACTTATTGCTACAATGAAATATGATAACAACTGGCTGCTGTTGTTCATGTTAAAATAGCTGTGGAGATTATAGGACATATGTTAAAGCATTCCTCAACTTTCTCTTGTCTCTAAAAATAATCCAAGGAACTTTAAATTTTTCATTTAATATCAATACTTCAAGAATGTACTGATATTATAAACCAAGGACTTTATGACTAAAACACCAAAAGCAATGGCAACAAAAGCCAAAATAGACAAATGGAATCTAGTTAAACTTAAGAGCTTCTGCACAGCAAAAGAAATTACATTAAAGTGAACTGGCAACCAACAGAATGGGAAAAAAGTTTTGCAATCTACCCATCCAACAAAGGGATAATATCCAGAATCTACAAAGAACTTAAACAAATTTACAAGAAAAAAGACAACCCCATCAACAAGTGGGTGAAGGATATGAACAGACACTTTTCAAAAGAAGACATTTATGCAGCCAACAAACATATGGAAAAAAGCTCATCATCACTGGTCATTAGAGAAATGCAAATCAAAACCGCATTGAGATACCATCTCATGTCAGTTAGTATGACGATCATTAAAAAATCAGGAAACAACAGATGCCGGAGAGTATGTGGAGAAATAGGAACATTTTTACACAATTGGTGGGAGCATAAATTAGTTCAACCATTGTGGAAGACAGTGTGGCGATTTCTCAAGGACCTAGAAATAGAAATTCCATTTGACCCAGCAATCCCATTATTGGGTATATATCTAAAGGATTACAAATTATTCTACTATAAATACACATGCACATGTATGTTTATTGTAGCACTGTTCACAATAGCAGAGTTGGAAGCAACCCAAATGCCCATCAATGATAGACTGGACATAGAAAATGTGGCACATATACACCATGGAATACTATGTAGCCATAAAATATGATGAGCTCATGTCCTTTACAGGGACACGGATGAAGCTGGAATCATCATTCTCAGCAAACTGACACAACAACAGAAAACCAAACACCGCATGTTCTCAATCATAAGTGGGTGTTGAACAATGAGAACACATGTACAAAGGGAGAGGAACATCACACACTGGGACCTGTTGAGGGGTGGGAGGCTAGGGGAGGGATAGCAGGGGGTGGGGGATTGGGGAGGGATAGCATTAGGAGAAATATCTAACAGGGTGACAGATGCAGCAAACCACCATGGCACGTGTATACTTGTGTAAACAACCTGCATGTTCTGCAAATGTACCCCAGAACTTGTGGGGTACATGTATAATAAAATAAAGTATAATAAATAAATAAATAAAATAAAAAAGAAAAAATTAAAAATTCCAAAAAAGAAGTTTTTCCTATATCTGCCTGTGTGTGACCAGTGAGCTTTATGACTTGGTGAAACACAATTTATTTGACTTTCCATTTTCTAATTTATAAAGTCAGGGGAAGGAAAGTATTCTAGAGGAATTCTAAAGTTCATTTGAGCTCTGAATATATAACTGTCTACTTTCCGATTCAAATAATTACATAATTTTTCACCCTGGCTTTGACAATTATGGAATATATAACTGGATTATATGATCTTCAGCAGAATATATGTCATGCTTTTATAAATGCCTCTAAAATTTTGCACTTATTTCACACTGGGTAGATTATGACACAAACAGAAAAGTGTGTTTTAATGTAACTATCGTCTTCTCCTTTAATCGCAAAATTTAAGAGAAAAACAACACAAACTATCTCATAGTCATCAAAGTATTAATGTACATTATTGCTTAAATCCAATTCATCTGTTTTCACTTAAACACATTGAATATATTCCCTACCTCTAAAAAAAAAAAAAAACATAATTTAGGGAACTAAGCCTCTAATCAACCTAATGCCCAACTCTCCTTTCCTCAATTATTTACTCCACTGGGAGACAATTTAATTAACCTCCTCCTGTGTAATAATTTTCTCTGTCACATGTTCAGGAAAAACATATTTACTAGCTGCACAATTCTGTGACCATGGTAAATAACAAGTATGTTCTGAAATTTGTCAAGGAGATAAACTCTGACACCTGGTCTATTTGAGCTAGCTTTAAAATAATGGGGGCTTCTTTTTGTTTATTTGTATGAGAGATTTGGAATTTTAGATTTCCATTGAAAACGGAGCGTCACTTAGGGACTTGGCATATCAGGGCATCTCAAGACATTTGAATTTTAGAAACAGATTTGACAACACTGTATTGAAAATAATTAGTAATTCATCTTGAGTGTGGTGCAAAATCCAAGCATGCAGGGATTGTTTCTGCATTACCAATTTCATCTGAAGGATTCAGCAGTTCTCTTTATCACTGGGTTGTGTCTTCACCAACTGAAGAATTTAACTGCCTCCACAGGGTTGAAAACAATTACTGAGTGTTTTTCCATGTAGGCAGACACTGGAGCGAAAATTAACCAGTGATTTGGGGCTTAGTGAAGATAGGCCAAAAGCAAGTCTCTGTGGGACAGCTATCACCCACAGAAGAATGTCCTTTTAAGCTTACCTAACAAGAGGCTATCACAGATTTTTTTCCAGCTGCATAACTGCTAAATGGAACATATAGACAGATATATTTACTGAGGTGAAATTCTGATGGTTTCTGTTTTAAAATTAGCCAAATCATAAAATGGTCAAAGAGAATTGTGTTCTCAACTTGCTTAGATCATCTGAAGCTCTAACCATTTAGACTGCTGAACAATGTATACAGACAATTATTTTATTAATTTGCTCAAATGCCTCTTACAAAGAGATACTATGAAAGGTATTGAGGACACAACAATAAATAATACATACTTCTTTCGCCAAGTCACTTAGAGTCTAGTAGGATGAAAAACATTGATAGATTCAATAGACTGTGAGCCAATAGATGGAGGTAGAAGGTCTTATGGCAGTTCATACATAGGGAGGCAACCAATCCAGTTTGGAAATGGTTCATAAAGATTTCTTAAAAGAGGATAATTGGAACTAAGACTTGAAAGATTAGTATTTTGGTAATCTTCTGGGTGCAGCAGTAGTACATTAGAAGCAAAGTAAATAGAAACTGCAGAGCTCAGGGATGGCATAAACAATCATTTGAAGGTGACAAACACAAGATCATGTTGTGGTAGAAACAAGGTTTAAGAAACAAATCATAAAAATTAATTTGTTTTCTCCTTATCTGCCATTTTTACTAAAAGCCAAATGAAGAACAATGCCAGTTAATTGAGGGGTCTGAATAATTAAAGGTTTGAGCAACAACAGTGAAATAGCAAGCCAGGTGAAGGGGCAAATATAACTGCACTGCATGAAACTTTGTCCAAGATTTTGTTTTTATTTAAAGAACGTGCAAGTGAGTGTGGTATCAGGTTGGACAGCAGTCAGCCTGATTCATGTGTGGTTTGTGTATATGGTTCTATTTTTTTTAACTGTAATTACTATCATGTGTTCTTGTCAGCAACTTGAATTCACCATGGAGGTAACGTGCATTTTATCAGCCATGTTGCTTTCACTCAATCCCTTTCTTTCTCTCTCTCTTATCCCGTCTCCTCTCTTACCTCTCTCCCCTCCCTGTCTTTCTTCCTTTTTTTCTCATTCCCTCTCTCGATCTTGACTTGGTCCAAAAATGTCATAAGGCAGCTTATCAGTTTATAAAGATGCATACCATATGATAAAAGAACATAAATTGAAACTAAGTGAGAATGTGAGGCAAAGGAAAAATGAAAGTGATAATGTAGAGGAGAAATAAGTATGTGGGGTGAGCCAGGAAGAACATTCCATGAAGGCCTTATACAATAGGAAAAGCTAAGCTAGAATGTTGACCTTCAGCTTTCTGGCATGCGCCATGAAGAGGAATATACGGTTCCAAGATTCTCAGTGTCTACTGGGCAAGGGCAGACCATTGTTTAATAGAAATACCACTTGTCCTATCCTTGGTATCTCCCATGGGAAGACATTGAACCCTGAGTTTATCAAACAAGGCACACTAGAAAGACAGACAAATATACAAACTATCTCAAATTTCCAATGGTTTTGTCACCACCTCAAACTTTTTTCAATGTGTTCTAAGTAGGTAAGCCTTCCTTTTCATGATGTGGGTCCAGTCTCACTTTACTTAGCTGCATGATTTTGTTGGATTTCTATGAGGCTTTTAAAAAAGAAAAAAATATATATTATTGAATGATGCTATTTTTCAAGCAACGTATGCCAACGCTTTATGCCTGGACATTCCTCCTCCAAGATGACGTAAATCTCTCCTATCACCTAGCAACTCTCAACCTGCCTGCATTGTAACTCAAGTTTTACTATGTGTGATTATATTGTAGAACAGAAAAGGATGAAATATGCTGAGGTCATGCTTGTGCATTACCCAGTAATTTCCCCATAGGATGGAGAGAAATTTAAATTGAGACATAAGACAGATACTGGGTGATAAAATTCTATTGTTGCTTTCAACCATGGTAAATGGTATCTCAACAGTATCAGATACCAAATTTGTTAATTCTCATAAAAAGTGAAGAGAAGTTCTGGATTGCAGAGAATGAAGTTATATCTATATAACATAAAAGCACGTCTTCAGTTCACTAATCACCGTATGTTACACATACACTATTTCCATTGAAGACAGTGTGATGCATAAAATCAAATTTATTACCTATTAGCTTTTTTACTATTCTAAAGGGTTCTGTCTGTTTGAAGAAAAGAATTTGATTTAAAGGTGAACAGATATCCACCAACCTACTCCCAACACTTTACAAGGCAAGCTGCAGGCAAAAATCCAACTGTCACAAATGGAAATACTATATGAAAATAAGTGCATTTCATTTGTCAGCCTTGTTCTGTGGTTCCTGTGGAGGGAGCAACCATATGGCTAGGGAGCCTTCAATCCTAAGAAGTCTTTACTTGTGAAAATAAAACTTAGCTAATTATGATTGGCAAAATGTGAATCATAAAACAGAGACAGACATTTATGCCCTGAGCTTTAAAACCCATTATAGCTCTATGTGTGGGGAAAATGCAGGTGTCTTTGCAAGAGGCATTTGGAAGACTAGTTCTGAGAAAAATGTGAGAATAGGCACACTGCTGGCTGAAATAACCTCAATATCCCTTGCAGGAATGCTGAATCTGCTTCATTTAGAATGGGCCCCAAGGAATGTGTTTTCACCCACTGCTTATATAAATTTCCTGACTAGACAGCAAAATTGCAAAATTTTGAAAATGCCTTTTTACCATACTTTTACATAGAAAACAACTTTTAAATACCCTTTTGAATTGATATATTTCTGTGTTTAAAGAACACTAAAGATTAGACTTTAAAGGTGACTCTTTCCCATACAGAAAGAAGTTAAAATGAAAAAAGACAAGCACCAATCAAGTTCAAAATTGTAATTCTCAAACAAATTCTCCCGATAGTTGTTCAAGGTGATGGGGACATTTCCTGCTGAGAATTTATAAGGAAAAGAATCCTGGAAGGATCTATTCATTCTGCAGTGGGATTATGTCTCTCATTAAGAATTTTTGCCTCCATGAGCCATTCCATGCCCTATGCCCTTCCTGGTAGCAAGTTACATGTTTAGGAAAGCAACTCTTTCAGTAAACCAATGAGTGTATGATTGTAAGACATGTTTTATTCCTGTGTCATTAGCTAGATTCGGGCAGCACTACGAGGTCCCTAAATTGGCCTTTACCTTAACTACGTGCACACCTTGGGGGTGCTATCAAAATGTACCTGGCTGATTATTATTACCTCTTTTGATTTTGAATAATAATTTCAAATATTGCTTTTAAACTTGAATTTCTAGCCTTGATATGAATTTAAGATACATTCTATGTTTATTTTAAAACAGATAAATAAATTTCTTGCTGTAACTCATAACTTTATGACTTATGTTAACAGTGGTGAAGCTGGCTGGCATTAGGTAAAACTGGAGCCCTGTCCTGTTTCATTATCAGTTTGAAAGCAACCAGGTTGTCTAGTGAAAAAAATAGTAGAAAGCAGATGGGCTTTTCCGAAACCTCATGATCTTTTATCTCTTGAAGTTTCCCCTGGAGGTAAAGGATGAAAAGTAATGCCAAAGAAAGCAAGTCGTAGTAAAAGAAAACATCCTATTTCCAGTTAGAACTAGTGTATCTTTGTGAAATTGACGAATTGAGAATAATGTCTGTGCAAGCACATGGCTTGACAACATATCATGTAATGTGGATCTTGATTTTGACTCTGCTAATTCAATCTAACTTCCCTTCCCAGAAGGTAATCCTTGCTGTGATAGAACGAGACTTAGGCCTACAGGGAGTAAAGAGCTTTCTTCGCCTAATAACATGTCTAGTAATTCCCTACAATCATTTTAATTTGAGATTCACCACCTTCCTACACAACTTCCAAATGCAGTCTCTGGTCCAGCTATTTTTGAATGATGGAACTCTTCCATTTCATAAAATTCCCTTCCCCATGAACAGTTGGACAATTTCCATGAGAGGCCACTAGAAGGCAGCTCATGCATAACTAAGTCCCTGCAGTTCTGTAGAACAGCTACCAAATTGCTGGGATATCACAAGGAAATACTCTTTCACAGAATTACTCAAGGCTCTCTAGAGCCACAGTAAAGCTTTATGCATATGACACTCCCCTGAACTCCCTAACGTAGGTATCAGAGTTCTTTTTCCAATTCTTTCTAAAGTGTCTTTTGCTAAGTCAGTGCAGACTGGTTGTTCACTCTTGGCAGTGTCCCAACTTGTATAATCAGAAGTATAACAACCCTACAGTACCTTTGCACAATTTTACCCATAACTTTAAGGTACTAAAAAGCATATCTTGGCAAAAGTATGTTGGCATCAGAGTTTGGGTGTATGTACAATACCATGCAAGTGGGGATTACTGTGTGTGAAAGTAAATGGTATGATCACCACATACTCATTCAAGCCAAAATCCTAGAAATCATCCTTAAAATCCCCCAAGAGCCACAGTTACATCTCACTACCAATTCCTATCAATTTTATCTTCTAATTAAATTTTGATTCTGCCCACTTCCAGTACTATAGTCCAAAGAACCATCCATCATCAGACTATAACACAGACTAAGCCTCCTAACTCTTCTCCCTGCATCCACATTTGTCTATTACATCCTATACCTATCATACTATAAGTAGAGTGATTTTGAGAAACACAAATAGTTTAATGATTTCCAGGTACTCAGGATGAAACACAAAATTCTTAATCTGGCTTATGAAAGCCCTGAATGGCTCTGCCTAGCTCTCTCCAGCCTAACCTACTTACTCTCCCCATGGTTTTCTGTGCTCCAGCCACACAAAGCTGCTATCAGCTCTCACAATCCCTATACTCCCCTGTATATCAGGGCTTTTGCATAAGCTATTTTTCTACCTAGATTGCACTTCCCCGCACTTCCCCACACTTCCCCTGCTTCACCTGCTTAATTTCAATTTCTTCTGAAATGTCAATTCTTTTGAGAAGTTTTTTCTTGAATTTGCCCCAAGAAAACTTTATGTCCCTTTGATGTATATCACAATAGCCCTTGGGCTTTTTTCCTTGTTATTAGTTCAGTTTTAATTATATATTTGTGTAATTATTTTGATTGATATCTATCTGTATCACTAGAATATATATATATATATATATATATATATATATAAAAGTCTATTAAGTACAAACTTACACGATCACAAGGTCCCATGATAAGCTGTCTGCAAGCTGAGGAGCAAGGAAAACCAGTATGAGTCCCAAAACTGAAGAACTTGGTGTCCAATGTTCAAAGGCAGGAACCATCCATCATGGGAGAAAGATACAGGCCAGGAGGCTAGGCCAGTCTCTTCTTTTTACAGTTTTCTGCCTGCTTTATATTCGCTAGCAGCTGATTATATTGTGCCCACCAGGTTAAAGGTGGATCTGCCTTCCCCAGCCCACTGACTCAAAGGTTAATCTCTTTTGGCAACACCCTCACGGACACAGTTAGAATCAATACTTTGTATATTTCAATCCAATCAAGTTGACACTCAGCATTAACCACCACAGACGGTTTTTTAATATGTTCTGGATGTTATCCCCTGATCAGGTATGTGGCTCCAAATATTTTCTCTCATTCCATCAGTTGCCTTTTCATTCTGTTGATTATGTTCTTTGGTGCATAGCAGATTTTTTCAAATTTGTCATAGTCCCATTTATTTGGCCTTTTTTCCCTGTGCCTTGGTGTAAGATTTAAGAAGTCATTGCCAAATTTAATGTTATAAAGCATTTTCCCCATGTTTTCTTCCAGGAGTTTTATAGTTTTGGGTCTTATATTTAGGTCTTTGATCAATTTTGAGTTAATTTTTGTATACTATGTAAGGAAAGAATCCTACTTTATTCTTTTGTTTCAAATTTCCAGAACCAATTTTTGAAAAGACTTTTACTGCTTTATTAAATGATCTTGACATCCTCATCAAACATCAAATTATCATATAGGTGAAGGTTTATTTGGGGGCTCATTTCTATTCAATTGGTTCAAATGTCTATCTTTAAGTCATTACCACACTGTTTAAATAATTGTCATTTTGTAATAAGTTTCAAAATCAGAAAGTGTGAGACCTCCAAATTTATATCAAGTTTATATTTCTTTTTCAAAATTGTTTTCACTATTTGGGATCACTTGAGATTCCATTAATTTTTGAATAGATATTTGTGTTTCTGACAAAAATCCAATTGAAATTTTGATAGGGACTGCATTGAATCTGTAGATTGCTTTAACTGGTGTTGCTTTAACAGGTGGCAGGGGCCAAGTAGTGGAACCCAACCATCAAAGACAATGTGAAAATAGATACCATAATGGACAGCAGAGGCAAAGCCACAATCAGAGTAGTCTGACTCATGTAGATCTCTGGCATTGGGTAATTAATCACGGTGTTCCTAGAAGTGAAATTGATAGAAAGCCTACTGAATTCCTACTTAATTTATACAAGCAGAAAACTTCTAGGTTGAATGGACAAAAAACTAATTTGAATTATAAAAAGAAAATCATGGCCCCTCAATCAATTTCCAGATTTGAGCCAGTTTACAGACCCAGAACCCCTTGAATGAAGGGGAGGGTGAGTCCCATTGAGGAAGGATCCCACTACATTACCAACAATTTATGCAGTGAATGGTTCTCCCATCCTTCCCCAAGGAGAACTCTGGACTTTTACCAGGGTAACTGTGCATTGGAGAAAGGGAAATAATCAGGCATTTCGGGGACTACTGGACACTGCCTCTGAGCTGCTGTTGATTCCAGGGTACCCAAAACATCATTGTGGTCCTCCAGTTAAAGTAGAGGCTTGGAGGTCGGGTAACTAATGGTGTTTTATCTCAGGTTAGACTTACAGTGGGTCCAGTGGGTCCCCAGACGACTCATCCTGTGGTCATTTCCCCAGTGCCAGAATGCATAATTGGCATAGATGTACTTAACAGCTGGCAAAACCCCCACATTGGCTCCCTGACTGGTAGGGTGAGCGCTGTTAATGGTGAGAAAGGCCAAATGAAAGCCACTAGAGATGACTCTACCTAGAAAAATTGTAAGTCAAAAATAATATTGCATCCCTGGAGGGATTACAGAGATTAGTGCCACCATTAAGGACTTGAAAGATGCAGGGGTGGTGATTTCCACCACATACTCATTCAACTCTCCCATTTGGCCTATGCAGAAGACAGATGAATGTTGAAGAATGACAGTGGATTATTGTAAGCTTAAGCAAGTGGTGACTCCAACTGCAGTTGCTGTATCAGATGTGGTTTCATTGCTTGAACAAATTAACACATCTCTTGGTACCCAGTATGCAGCCACTGACTTGGCAAATGCCTTTTTTCTCCATTCCTGTCCATAATGCCCACCAGAAGCATTTTGCCTTTAGCTGACAAAGCCAGTAGTATACCTTTACTGTCCTACCTCAGGGGTATATCAACTGTCCAGTTTTGTGTCATAATCTTATTAAGAGGGACTTTCATCGCTTTTCACTTCTGCAAGATACCACATGGGTCCATTGCCTTGGTGACATTATGCTGATTTGATATGGGGAGCAAGAAGTAGAAAACATACTGGACTTATTGATGAGAACTTTGTATGCCAAAAGATGAGAAATAAATCCGACTAAAATTCAGGGACCTCCTACGTCAGTAAAATTTCTAGAGGTTCAATGGTGTGTGGCCTGCCGAGATCTTTCTTCTAAGGTGAAGGATAAGTTGCTGCATTTGACCTCTACTACAACCAAGAAAGAGGTACAATGCCTAGCGGGCCTATTTGGATTTTGGAGACAACACAGTCCCCATTATGCTACTTCGGCCTATCTATTGAGTGACCTGAAATGCTGCCAGTTTTGAGTGGGGTCCAGAACAGGAGAAGGTTTT